TTTCTAAAAGGAATCGTAATATTTTTCTTCGAATATAAAATAACTAAATCATACATTTCCTTGTTAGACATATTTCTATTATATACAGTTTCATCCCAGCATGTACTTAATTTTATCGCTATTTTGAGGTGATATTGTTTGGTTATTGATATTGCCTTTCTTCCATCTGAGAAAAGTTTAAACATTTCTCCAGCGGTTTGAATTATTATAATATATTTAATTTCAACACTTATTATATTTATTTCTTCATAGTTCGTATGAAGTTACTGTGAAGTTTTTATATTTATAACGTGCCTCTTTTACTGACGTGATCTTTTTGTTTCAATTATCTGAGTTAACATTTTTAAATGACTTCTCATTCGTAAAACAATTGTGGAGGGGAGAGGTTGATTCAGTCATACTTTTAAATAATTTTAAAAAGTGTTTAGAGTAAAATTCCGCTGTAATTTTTGTCAAGAACTGAGCTCAATCTGGGATTAATGTATTATACTAATTAAAACTAAGAATATAATGTAAGGATAATGGATTTGTTAGGTGCTTGTAAATGTCTTTGATAATGAGGTAGAAAATAACACAAGTGGTTGATGCGACCTAAAATGTATGTACTATCTCCCTCTCTAACTCCGGATGGGGATGTATTAAACACCCAAGCCACAAACTTTCGCTACACGAGTCAATTTGAAGACGACCGAACAGAAGCGAGCTTCAAGAAGTACCAATGTGTCACAGTTTGTAGCTGGTTGTGGGTCATTTTTGGTATGGAACTATCCAAACCCTTACCACAGTCAAGTGTTTTTCAGAATTTGCATTCCATTTATGAACGAACGCTCAAGGAAAGGTGTTGGAGATATAACAATTACTTTATATAAAACAATTGTATGTATGTTAGGTGTTGGAAATTACAAAATATAGTATTTGTTTGGCTTGGAAATTACCTTGTAATTACGTAAATAAGATAAATAAATGTTTTGATAATCATTAATGAACAATTTTTTTGTAAAAATATTTTATGAGAGGAAATCGATAAATGTTTGCTTTGTATTTAGTTTGAATAAAGTTTAATTAAAAAAAACAAGGTCTAATAATGAAAAATAAAAATTCAGGAATTAGGAAACTTGGCCTTATGCTGTTTTATCTACTTTCATAGAATAACCTCATATATTTCATAGCATATATTTTTTTCATCTTGATATTTAACATATTGTAATTGATTGCTACAGTGAAAAGTTTTACTTACTTTCTTCACTATAGCTTCATACATATTGTGCAGTACAACAACAATGCAGCAGTTCTGCAACATTGCATTCACCTGTATTTGATAAAACTATTGATGGTCCCTGTGCGAGATGTTTTTTCTTCTCCTAGATAATCTATATTTCCTTACAATGACATAGAATGTCATTTGAATTTCTGGAAGATGTATCACTTATGCTGCTTAAAGAACTAACATCTTTATATATGTTACAAATATTTTATTGATGAAATTAGTTTATTGGTACAAAACAACATTTTTGGTGTTGCATATTTTGTTTCATATTATATCAGTTCCTGCTTAGATGTTGCATGAAAAGGAATGATATTATGAACTCTTGATGAATATTGTTGCCTGGTCAGGTGAATAAGCACTTTCCATGTTCTCTGACGTAACATTCATTCATTTTTGGTTCATTTAATGTATGTTTGCTATTTTGGTCATTTATAGAACAAAAATTAATATTGCTTTATTTAACAAATCACAACATTTAAAGAGAAATTAATAGAAATTTTACCATGCACTAATAAAATGAGGGTTAATTCTAATTTTTGCATCAGCAAAGATAAAAATTAGCCTGCACAGAAAATACAGACAAAAGTTGATTATATTGTGAAGGTGTAAGGTACGAGTGTATTCACAACCTAGATGTAGAACATTTCGTCCCCAGGTTCACTATTTCAGACTTTGAAAGGAGCAGTAACATCACTAATAATTAAAATCCAATACTTAAAAATACTACAATTTATTATTTCTTTGAATTTTATGGAAGTCCTCTTAACAGGTTTCCATTAAAAAACTATGCCCCCTTAAATTATAATTCGCAAGTTTCTTTCTACCATGAAATACCACAGTGCTGTAATGACTTTTCACTTACTGGCTAGAGTCCTTGCATAAGCTCTAAACAGTGTACATAACAAGATCTGTGTAGCCTGTAAATGCACCGAGAAAGACAACAGTAATTGTTTTAGTGTTGAAGCACTTAGGAGTTTGCTTTTCTCTTAACTTTTGCAGTCCATCCTGATCAGCTTGTAATGACAACAAACGGTGCTTTTTTTTGAAAGATGAGCACAGATTATTTGATGTGACTTCAGAATCAACTACAAGAAAGTGCATTGTAAGTGTTCTCCAACAAAACGTTTAATCAAATCATAATAATGTTTTTCGAGACTTAATTTGTACCAGTCTTGTAATTTGTAATGAATAGTGCAACACTGGGGGTGTCCTTTACCGGACAGGTGTTGAACCTCAGTAAACAGAATGCACAATAGAATCGCTAATAACAGTGAAATAACGTTAGGACATCTTCAGGAGGAGGCATCGAAAACATCTACAAAACTTTAAAACAGTGCAGATTACTGCTCATGGACTTTATCAAGGGCAGAGTACGTAACTGGGGACCTGACTGGCAGTGTTATGTTTCTCATGCGAGTTGTTTTCTTCAGAATTAGAGTTGTCAGCCTATTGGCAGACTGTAGGAAATTGGCAATTTAAAGAAGCATCTGCAGTGAACAACTCTCATGAATAATCGGAAGCTGTTTGGAGAACGACTTGTTTGCATATTCTTCAACACACTTAACGAATGAAAAGGTACGAAGTACACATCTGCCGAAAGTACGGTCGTATCTTATAATCTGTTGAAGAAACGCAACCTAGGAAATGAGTGCACGTTGTGAAAACTATCTTCCGATGATGCCCACTTTTTTCACAATTTCTGTCGAAATCGACGAGAATAAATGTTTCTACACGGACATGTAATCAATATGTTAAGTTAATACTTCCTCATTTATTTCAAACTTGTAACAGTGAAGCTTCAAATGAGATTTACAGTCGAGTCCTAAACTCGAGTTTGTAACTTCGTTACTGTTGGATGAGGTACATTCCTTGTGCCAGCATCCTCTAGTCTTGATCTTCACGTCTTGACGTTTCAAAATTAATCGGTAGCAAGAATGAGCACGATTCTTTAGTTTTACTACTTTGCTTTCATTTGAAAGTCAATTCTACATATTCATAACACGTCAGAACTGCTTTGAAGCGGAGTTCAATTGAAAAAAGATTAGTAAGGCAACGAATTCATTTTTCCTGGATTCGTAACGTGGTCGCAACTTACTCCACTTAAAAGTTCAGACGAAAATTTCATCTTGTCTATGTCAAGATTTTTTCATAACACTTACGTTGAACGTTTGCAACAGTAGTTCTCTCTTCAAAAATATGGCGCCGGCGCGCTCCGGCGGAGGGTCGCTGGAGGGGGCAGGCGCGAAGTTCTGAATCGGAATCACGTTTAGGGAAGGACCTCAAGCCAAAGCCACTAGTTTCACAAAAAAAATTTGGGATTTTGCGCAACCTAGTTTGTTAACCTTACAAACACACTAAAAAATACTTATTAATAGATTCCTCTCTGGTCGTTCGTTTAAATGTAAACGAATTGAATTAAGCCTGTTTTGAACAAAAGACTTAGTAAGAATATTTTTTAAACATTGTTTGTGCATATTCAGCTCATTGTTTCTCACACAATATTTAAACAAAATGTTTATAGGTTTCACAACAAAGTTAAACTTGCGATAAAAACTTTGTAATTTTTTATTGTTGTATGATATTTGTATATTATATTGTATAACTTTTCCTCAAAATCGTTGAATTAATTTTATATCCGTGAAGATATTTAGATACACGGCACCAAAAAAATTCAGTCTATGCATATGTAAATAATGTGTGCGGCTGTGTGAATGATGTCATTACTAATACTGACAAAAACTTATTAATCGTAATTACCGGGTTATGATTCGGAAGTACTTTGTATTGACAGGGTGTTACACCTGCGATCAAGTTGTTGCGATCAACTTTTGTACATCGAGATCTAAAGTGTCGGACAAAAAAGCGCAAAGTCTCAAGAATCCCGATGAGGTATCGATTTGAGGCCGTATCCCTAACATGGGTGCGATTTAGAAACGTGCTGCGGGAGCGGGGAGGGGGGAGCAGCGTGCGGCGGCTCAGGCGGCGGCGGCGGCGGCGGCCGGGGCCGGGGCGAGAGCCCGCCGCGGGAATAAGGCAAGGCGCGTCGGCGCGCGCCCCGCGCGGCCATCGCGGGCCCCCCCCGCGGCCCCCGCCGCCCCCGCCGCCCCGCGCGTCCGGCCTTCGCCGCTCCCGCGCGCGACCCGCGCGCCCGCCGCGCCGGCCCTCTTCGGCGGCGACGGCGGCGGCCCGCTGCGCTGGACGGCGCGAGCCGCGGCTGACCCAGGCGCCCCCGCCGCGCTCGCCGACTCCGCCGCCGCCGCCCCGCCGCCGCCCGCGCGGGGAGCGGCGGGGCGCGAGCGGGGGCGGCGGCGCGGGCGCCGAGCGGTGCCGCATCGATCGGCCGGCGGCGGCCGGGAGGCCGGCCCGGGGGCGAAGCGCGGATGGGGCTGCGGGGGCGGGGGCGGGGGGCGCGCGGGGGCATGCACGTACAAAGAGACACAGGCGTCCTCGTTTATTATTAACAATATAGAAGCTATGTGGTGCGACTCGCGTGCGCCGCCGGCGGAAGGGCCGTCGGCGCGCGCGGGGGGCGGCGACGGCGTCGGCGGGGCGGCGCGCGCCCCCGCGGGCGCCGGCTTCGACAGCAGCGCGGCGGCACTCAACAATCGCGGCGTCGGAACCGCAGCAAGGGTCGACTCGAAGGGAAGGCGACGGCGCCGCCGTCGTCGTCGTCGTCGGCGCCTTCCGCGGGGCGTTGGGGGGCGGCCGGCCGCTGGAGCTGCGAGCGAGTCAGTAAGGCATGCGCATGCGCGGGTCCGGCGGCGGCGGCGGCGGCCGCTTGCGGCACCAGCGCCGCAGCAGCGGCACAGCAAGCACCAGGCAGGCGACGGCCAGCAGCGCCCACGCGCCGGCCACCAGCGGCCATCGTCGCTGCGGGTCGGCCGACGGCTGCTCGGGCGTCGCGCAGATGCGCCTCCGCTCGTCGGCGCCCGCGCCGCCCACGCCGCCCGCGCCGCCGCCCGACGCGCCCGCGCCGCCCTCCGAGCTGCGGACACGCCACACGCCGGCTTCAGGACACTCTTCTTTGGGAGGCAATCGCAATTCAACATGGGGGAGGGGAAACAAATATACACACGACCACATGACTTCTGGTCTTACTGACAGTTATCGTAGGTAATACCACGACTGCTTTGGATATTGTCGATAAATTCCCGACTCGCGAAGCGAGAAAGGGATTTATCTGAGAATTTCCAAAGCACGAGAGGTATTTAACAAGACTATTGTACAGTGAAATTATGTCCAACAGAGTTCGAAAATGCGCCAAATATTGAAAATAACTGAAAGCTTATCTTAAAATCAGAGGTTAAGTCTGGGTTATGTTATAGTACATACGCCGTTTGAACATCGACATAGCGATCGATTTATACTGCCTCCTGAAATAGACGACTCACAGTTTATGATTGGCCTGTAGGTAGAAGCGGTAAGAAAAGTCGGATAGAAAAAGCGAATAACTGTTTGAGATACCGCCCTGATTGGGGCATTTTGTTTGTATCTAATTTAACACAATTGGTTTTAATTTCACGAGTAGAGTAGTCGATAATATCAATCTCTTGGATGTTGGTCTTCTGTTCAGTGTTCACTCTTTTCTTCTCTGAAAAGTAAACTCATTCATATATATATATATATATATATATATATATATATATATATATATATATATATATATATATAGTAGTGACAGAATACATGAAAGCACAACTTATTGCAACTGTTTCTAAACGTTTTGAAATATGAAGGATATGGAGCAGTATCACAATAAACCACACCATCCACCATCCAATAAGAGCCAATGCTACTCGGAAATGTTAATTTATCGATTTAACATGTAAGCCAATGTAACCATATGCTCACAAAAATCGAGATAACATTTGCGAATAGCGGGGGGAATGTTGAGGCGGACGTGGCTCGATTTCTTGACCCTCAAGCCCTTCAATATGACTAGGGATTGTGGGCAACAAATACACACGCTAAACATATGACTGGAGTTCTTGTACCATCAAAACCAAAGCCAAAAAATATCAATATCTTCATTTTTGTCTACATTACTTTTTCTCTTCTCCCCTTTTCTCTCTGAAAATATACTTTGTCATCTAAATACACCCAAGAAGCACATAACGTGACTCGAGACCATTCGATAAATATTGATGGAAATGGCACCAAAGAAGAGAAGAAAAGAGAATTGATGGTGCGAATAGAATTTTCTCATTACAAATGAGCAAATCTTTGTAAGTGACATGTCCCATCGAAATGGTAAAAGTAGTTCATTTAATATAAAAAACATTGTATAGGTTTTTTGTCGCGTAAATTACGCCTTCTGGACGCAGTAAATACTCGTAAAATTTATGAATATTGCATGTTATTTACAAAACATTCAGGAAAGAAATGTGATTTGTTTATTTACAACACTTGTATCAAGTTGTATAATAAAGTGAAGAAAGAAAATCTGAATATCTTTAAAGCTTCGTCTATGTTTGGGAAGACATTCATTACAGTAACCATAGTCCTTATTGGATACGATAACGCATTTTCAGTTCCAGAGGCATTTAATGCAAACGCTCTCTAATTGTCTCTGAAATCTAAATCTTTTGTAATACAGAAGAGGGTCTTGGTAAACTGAGCAGATAGTAGCTGAGGCGAAGTTGCGAGTTTCAAACTTCCGCATCTTCGCACAGATAATTTTATGAAGTCTTTCTTTCCTTGGGAGAGAAATTTACGAAACCCGAATAATACGAGAAAGATCTTCGTCAAGCCGAACGGATTTGAAAGTCATGAATAAAAGGGATTTAACGTAATCTACATCTAGTGTAAAATCTTAAAATATTTCAAAGAATATTATTATAACAGCAACGGCTACAACACAATATTAAAACTAAAGACTCTGATTATAAACTTCTTTGGCAATTGTACTCGAACTGGAGGCAATGCAGATTTAATTAATGTTCTGAGAATATAAGGAGGCCTCATATCTCATGAGAGAGAGGTCCTAATTTAATGGAGTAGGGAATTTGCCAGTCGCAATTCAAAACATTAGAGACGGGTTCAATTACGTGATTTTCATTGAGAAGTGCGATAAAACCGGAACATTAAATCCTCTTTAATTATCCAATTATTTAACGCGGATTAGAACAAACAAATATCTCTCAAGTTTTAGTCCCAGATGTTCAGCCTTACATGAAAACGTATCCAGAATTAAAAACTTTATTCATTGCTTCCCGTAATTCGGTTTTAGTCTACCCATTGATTCTTACGAAAACCTCAGTAAGTTATGCAGTCATAAACATTACAGTCCTTTAAAGAAGGAGCTTGCAGCGTCAGTATTGCGGCAGCTTTACGGCGAAGAGCTCACAGCTCCATCCTTCTCAAGCTCTGTCACGACCTCCAGGCTTGGTTCCCTCCGTTCCCTTCCCCTCCTCACCACTCTTGGTCTGTTCCTCCCTGGTCGTTTGATCGCGCCGCTCTCCATGTCGCCACCAAACCGGCCCTGCTGCCTCGTCGCGGGCGGTGCCTCGCCGGAGGAGATACCTCTTTGAGGAAAACCCCGCAAGCTGATGTTTAGGTCGGCGCCGGACATCGCCACCCAGCGGGGGAGAACACCGCCACATCCTGCGATGAAATATTCTCTACATTTACGAGACTAATCATCTCGATAGTTAACGTGGCCGGAAACTCTAACGAATCAATAAATCGCCTCCCACTGTGTACCCCGCCTCCCTCGCGGCACCTCTCCGTCGCGAAGTCTCCGCTACGTTCCTCGACCGCCCCCTCCCTCGCGTCAAGTCTTTGGCAAGGGCGTGGCGGGCGGGTCAGAAGCCGTGAGAGCGGCGCCGGTCGACGGATTGCCGCGGTGGGGAGACGCGTGCCTGAGGGGAGGGGGAGATTGAGAAGCGGCAAGCAGCGAAGGAAAGAGCGCAGCAACTAGCAGATAGGAAGGCATGATTAGGCACTTGGGCGGCGAGAGGCAGGAGAGGGGCTACTGATGCGCAGGACTGCTATTGTGGAGACTGCATATCCTGGGGGCGGGGATGGAGGCACGTGCGCCATTTGGCGGATGCGGAAGAAGAGTAGGTGAGGGGGTGAGTTGGGGTGGGCAGTGGAGCCGCGGGAGGAGGAGTTGGGTCCGGGTGGTGGAGGGGCGGCGCCCGGCGACAAGAGCCGGAGGCGAAGCGTGAGGGCGAGGGCGGGGTCAAGGCGCAACGGCGTTTGCGCAGGAGGGAGATGTTGGGCGCGGGTTGTGGGGTGGAGCGTGGTGCCGTGGCCGGAGAAGCCGGTGGTGGGCGGGGCGCGCTGGTCGACCGAGGCCTGGGGACGGGGATGCAGTAGCAACGGTAGCGAAGGAAGTGGACTTGATGGGGGGCGGGGGATGAAGCCCGCGGGGTGCGGGGTGCGGTTGGGGTCGGGGTGGAGTGTCTGGTGGGGGTGGGACAGTGGAGTCGGGAGGTGGTGCGGGGAGCCGGGGGGGGGGGCAGCGCCGAGCTGGAGCGGGAATGGAGAAGCAAACGGTGGCGCGCAGGCGGGGGGGGAGGTGAAGATGATGGAGCCGTGGGGCGTCGAGGGGCGGGCGGCGCCCGGTCGACCGAGCCGGAGCGGCGCCGCGAATAAGGGGCGGAAGAACGCATGGCAACAAGATAGAGGCCCGTCCCGGGAGTCGCTCTCTCTTCTTCTTTCGCTGTGCGCAGCGATGTTTCTCTATAGCGCCTTCTGTCACGTTTAACATCCGGCCGTCTTCTCCGCC